TTTCGATTTGCACGAAATTTGGTATTGCGTAATGAATAAGGTCTAAAATTATGTGTGTCAAGTTTCGTGAAAATCGGTTCATATTTAGATATAGCTCCTATATATTTTTTCTTCCGAGTGTGTGTAAATTGTGCACTAAAGACCCAAAGTTTGTCTGATTTCCACACAATTGGTACAATGAACTGTAGTTACTATAATACATTTCCTTTACATTGCTTTATATAATTTTGTCCCATTGTAAGAAGCAACCCTATATCTGACCAAATGAAAACTTTAGTGTAGGTTACAGAATGACATGTTTATGGATCCATTTTCATGTTAATGGTCCTTCAAAAATTCGACGTCTGTTATTATTCATCTGTTGAATATACCCAAAGTGGTGAAGGGTATCATATAGTCGGCCCCGTCCGACTTTACTGCTTTCCTTACTGGTTTTAATTATATTGATTCTAAAATCGTGTTCTGCCCCAATCCATATATATTCTGATAGTACATACTATGATTTCGATATGAACCAAAATTATCCGTATATAAAGATTAATTTTTATAAAATGTTTTTAAAATTAATTTTATATGAAAAAAATGTATTTTTTATTAATTTAAACTTAGCTTCCTGAGGTTGTCATATGCTTCATTTAATCAATCAATTTTCCGCACCAATAAAACAAATAAATATATTTTGAAACAATAATCATTATCAAAACAAAAAAATCTTACAAAATAATCTTCAACACTTCCCAATTCATTTTTAACGCCTCTGTAATACAACTCTTCGTTTGTTTTTAACACTCCCATTTCCTCGAAAATTGAAAAAAAAATTACTGAAAAACACCTAATTATTTCAAACAAGCCCTCATCAAATATGGTACACACACTCATATACTTTTTATTGAGACATACATAAATTATTCTGAATCATAAAAAATACAATATTGAAAAAAAAATAAATAAAAATTTGAAAAAAAAAAATCAATCGATGAAGTAATAATAACCATGGCATTTCAACATTTCATTGGAAACGCATTGCAACCTGAATAAATTATTGAATATTTCAATAAAATCAAATACTCTATCGATAAAAAATCATAAAATTTTCTGATACACAAAAGAATGTCTCTATTAAATAAAATTTATTTTTTTGATAATTAAAATCTAGAATAGTAGCAGCACATAATTAAGAAAAATTGTCACAGATTCTAATTCCAAGAAATTGAATTATTATTTGAAAAAAATATTAATTTGAAATGATACTGGCAATAAAAAAAATCTCAACAAATAAATTTGTTGATAATAAGAAACACCAAGGGGGTGGGGGTGGGTAATAAAACAGAAGCCACAATTAAGAACCTGACTGGGGTATTTTTTTCCAAGATATGAAGCTCCACAGACTGGGCCATAAAACAGAAGCCTGAAACGATTTTTTTTACAATACGACGTGTAAGAATTTTGAAAAAGACCACATTCCCTCTCCTCAGAAATCTCCACTTGAAGGAGAATATAATTAACAGTTTATAAAAATTCTTATATTTCTTTAAATATTTTCAAATTATTATTATTTTTTTTTAATTTTCTTCCAAAACACCTTGAATCAAAATTTCCATTGTGCTTAAATGCTAAATAGCTCATCTTTAATATTTTTTAGAATATTTTTCTAAATAGCTTATCTTTAATATTTTTTAAACTATTTTACAAAATATCTTATCTTTAATTTTTTACAAATATTATTCTCTTTCCAAAAAATAACCTCTTTTTCTATTCCCTCAGACTGGAGTCTATTTGTCTACCTTTTTTATTCCCCATAATCTCTATTTTTTTTCGCAAATTACGAATAATAATAAAAAAATAAATAGTTGGCAAAAAAAGCAGTTTCTTTTTCGTTGATTGTTCATTTGAGATTTCTTGTTAACAACATATAATAGGTTTTTCCTGGAATACATACAGCCAAGATGTTAATAGGTTGTTGAACATCAACCAACATAGGCAATGAAGAAAAAAGTGATAGGAAAAAAACTGTTTAAGAAAAAAAAAACTATGCGAAAAAATTCTAGTTTAAATACGTGACTGTAACAGTTAAATACAATAGATTTGTTAGTAAATTAGTTCACTAAATGTTTATTGGGGTGGAATGAACAAATATTATTTTCAAAAGGGGATTTATTAAAAAGGAGTACGAGATTGACTGGAATATTTTATTATGTTATATTCAAAGTTATTTTTAGGGATATATTAAAGATACAGATATTTCTTATTTGGAGACCTATAGTGAAATTCGATGCAGAATATTTTTCTCCTCTATACTACACCTCCAAAATGTATGCAAATAGATAATGGAACCTCAATTTGATAATAATTTTAGAGTAACACCAAATACGTCTAATAAATTTAGTTTTATATTAACTTAAAATTTACCTCCGATTTCCTCCCATATATAATAACTACCGATTTCTGTTCGCAGACTTATAGTAAAATTTTTATGAAAAATATTTTCTGTCCTAGGATCAACTCCCTAAAATGTATCAAAAGGCAAGATTTGGGCAAACACTTCAAAATAGTAATTCATATTTTTTTCATATTCTAAGTGATTTTTTTTACAGATATATATTAAACATAGAGGTATTTCTTATTCAGAGACCTATAGTGAAATTCGATGCAGAATATTTTTCTCCTCTATGCTACTCCTCCAAAATGTATGCAAATAGAGAATGGGACCTCAATTTGATAATACTTTTAGAGTAAAACCAAATACGTCTAATAAATTTATTCTTGTATTAACTTAACGCCAATTTCCTACGATATATGTAGAAGCTACGGATTTCTATTGTTCGAAGACATAGTCAAATTCGATGAAGAATATTTTCTTTCCTAGGATCAGCTCTCTAAAATGTATCAAAAGTCAAAATTTTGGCAATCACTTGAAAATAGTATGAAACTATTTTTAATAATGTAATTCCTGCATTTGTTCTACTTTGGTGTTGATATTTTTAGATATACGTGATGGATAGAAATATATTTAGTTCAGGAACCTATGTTAAAATTCTATGGAGAATATTTTCTTATGTAATATCACTACTCCAAAATTTAGTTAAAAGTGAGATTTGGTAACCTGAAAGCCAGGGAGATATTTGTGAAGATGCATTATTACCTAACACCAGCAAATGCTTGTACCTTTCATTAAAGAAACGAAGAGTGCTCTGTCCTTTTCATTGATAAGATGAATACAAACAGTCTGTGAAGTAAAGTGGAAGCATCAGAATTTTTTTAAATACTTGCACTGAAATTCCAAAGTCTTTGTATAGACAACCAGGAAGCCATTAAGTCCTTGTATATAGGGATTGAAGTTTGGGAATACTTGTATAGGCACAGTGACGCCAAGGAGTTTGCCCCCTGGTACCAGGAAGCATCTGACTTTTTGAATACTGGAAATCAGGGGATCTTATGTAAAAATCTTTACAAGGTGAACCTGAAAGCCAAAGGTAATTGGGACCTGCGAATATTTGTCTAAGACAGTGAAACGAGGTATTCTACAAAAATAGGCCAGACCTACAAGATGCCAAGGATTGTATATGTCAGGTGAAGTCAGAGATCCTTTGAATAGATTCGAGACAATGTTTGATTAACGAATCATCAGCGTTTTTTTAAACTGCCCTTGAAATCAGGATGTTTTTATATAGATAACCTGAAAATCAAGGAGTCTTTAAAAATAAGTTTGAGGACTGAGAATATTTGTGTAGACGGACTGACGTATAGAAGTCTGCTCGCTACGACGGAGGCGAGTGTTTATATAGGCCAGATCATCAGAGAGCAGTCTCATGATCTCATTACGAAGCCATCAACATTTAAGATTATTCGAGATGAATAAGAGAAATCTGAAAGCCAGGGATCTTGTTGGAAAGGGACTTGAGGTCTTGGAATATTTGTATAGTCACACTAATGTGAAGGAGTCTCCTCTCTAAGAGGTGAAAGAAACCAGAGATGCTTAAACAATATCAGATTAAGGAAGCATCAGAGATCAGATCAGAAATGCTCAAGCTGAAATCAGAAAGTTTTAAAGTCAAGGGACATTTACCGAAAATGAATCAGGGAGTCTTTATATAGAAAAGGAGTCAGTGACTGAGGACAGAGAATATTTGTATAAATGCAGTAGGACTAGTTGATCTGCACCCTGGCAGCATGAAGAAAATCAGCTGAAATCTGGGAACCTTTATTTACAGAACTAAAAAAGGTGTATTGAGATCTGGGAATATTTGTGTAGGCGCATCAGGGCTAATGAGTTTGCTGCCTGACACCAGTAGTGAAGAAAATTAATCCGGTCGTTTTATAGAGAAGATAAGGTAGCCCAGTAGTCTTTGTAAAGGATTATTGAGGTCTGGAAATCTTCGTGTAGGTGCACTAAGGCTTGTGAGTCTTCTCCCTGGCATCAAAAGAAAATGAATCAGGCAGTCTATATAGAAAAAATATGAAAGCTATGGAATCTTTGTAAAAGGTAGTTGAGGTCTGAGAATTTTTGTGTAGGTGCACTGAGACTAGAAAGTATGCTGCCTGACTCCAGAAGAACTAATAATAATTGTAGAGCCTTACAGATGTCACGGTGTCTTAGGAAGTGAAATATTTGTATTCGATAAAGAAACGTTAAATTTATCTGAAACCTGAAATTATATGCTATTATGTAGAAGACTGCTAAGTAATATTTTATACGAATTTCCAGTCGATATTTTAGAATACCTGCATAGCAAAATACTTATCTTAATCCATTGAATTAATAATATAAAATTATTTGTTGCAGTTCTTAGTTCGCCAATCGCCTTACCTCTTATAAAATACAAAAACCTGCTTTAGACCTGTAATTACTGTAGTAAAATTATTACAAATTAAAAGATCTGCATATAAAATTAATTCTAATTACAAAGTCACTTAATTATATGATTTATTTACTTTTAAATTACCAAATGACTTAACTAATATTTATTTATGTTTTTTCTTTATTCTGTTTTTAATTTCAGCATGATAAGAAGAACAATCCACCTGCCATTTGTTGTAAATAAAAAATTCAATCTCAACAAAATGTTATTACACTATCTAACATTAATAATTACCCTGCTGGGTGTTGTGCTGAACCAACACCAAAGCGTTGCTGTGCTATCGACGAATCAACGAAATCAAATAAAAACTAGAACTAAAGATAATGACAATATTGAAAATGATTCGCGATATATATCGTATCAAGGTAAGGAAGAACGATTATTGTTATTATTTTTTTAAATAAATAAAAAAGTCTATTATGTTTGCCAAAGCAATCCAATAAAAAAATGAAGACAACAACAATTATCATTTTTATAGGCCTAAAGTAAAGAAAGAGGTGGATGGGGAAGAATTGCCTAACTAGGCATATGGGTTTGTGTGATAGGGTAGCATGGGCTGGTGGGGGAAGAGTTGGGGGGATTTTTTGTTTACCCACTCTTATCAGTTTATGTTACAACACCTAACCCCATACCCTGGCCTTATTTGTTGGAGATCTCCGCCGTACATGAGCATTAAACACACCGAACAAAGTTTAGAACATTTGCGTACTTGAACTTTATGGTTGTCGGGTATCTCCCTCCCCGATCCTCCCTTGACATCTTCTCCCTGCCTCCTTGCTAAATTAATGATAATTTTTCAACGTCAGCCACACAAACATCACGATTCATCTTCATCTAACAGAAGTCACCCTTGTGTAGAACCTCACAATGATGAACATCTTTTGGCTGGGGATCATTACTCAAAGAATTGAAGAGATTTGGCTTCGCATACAGAAAACGAAGAAGATCCGTCTGATTAATTTAAATTTATTATTGTTTATTGTAATATAAACTAAATAAACACAATCCTCATTTTTTGCTCTTGTCATCATTTTCTGGTTCTTTTTTGCTGATAACGTCGAAGAAAAAGACTGATAGGCAACGCCAAGATCTGAAGCATCAATTGCTTAGGGTCTGGTACTGTTGATAACGCACAATTTTACATTGCCGCACTACAATGCGGAAGATTTGTTAAGAAGTATCATTTTTTGTTTGTATTATGATTTCTTTTAAGAATAATTGAATCGAAGTGTTAAGTACATATGTACACAGATGTTCCGCAGACGTGTGTTCTTTACTGATTTCCACAACAAAAAATGTGTTAATTGTTAAAAACGACAACAATATTTTTTTATTGTACAATTGAAAAAGAAGATTGACAGATAAGAACTGCCACACAAATGGCTACAATGAAATAGAATTGGAAATAGAGCTTTGAAAGATTGTGCTAAATTACACCCACACAATGGAAGAAGACAAGTGCCACGGCGGAATGGAATTAATAGAGGCACGAGCGACTACTTAAATTCGGGAGTCTTTATATAGAAAACCTGAAAGCCAAGGAGTCCACCTGAATGGGAATTGAGGTTTGGGAATCTTTCGATTAGTACACTGGAGCCTAGGAGCCTGGCTCCTGACACCCGGCACGATCTACTACTCAAATACAGGGATCATCAGTGTTTTTGAATACTCAAAATGAAATCCGGCAGTCTTTATATAGAAAACCTGAAAGCCAAGGAGTCCACCTGTATGGGAATTGAGGTTTGGGAATATTCCTATAGGTACACTGAAGCCTATGGGCCTAGCTCCTGACCCCCGGCATGAGCGACAACTCAAATACAGGAATCATCAGAGTTTTTGAATACTCAGCCTCAAATAATGAATTCTTTATATAGAAAACCTGAAAGTCAAGGAGTCCACCTGTATATAAATGAGGTTTGGAAACATTTCGATTGGTACACAGAAGCCTAGGAACCTGGCCCTGACACCCGACACGAGCGACTACTCAAATACAGGAATCATCAATGTTTTTTAATACTTAGGATGGAATTCTCGAGCTTTTATATACACAACCGTCAAGGGAGTTCAAGTGTAGGGGAATTGAAGTTTAGGAATATTTCGATTGGTAACCTGAAGCCTAGGAGACTTGCCCCTGACACCCGGCACGAGCGACTACTCAAATACCGGGATCATCAGAGTTTTTAAATACTCAGCCTCATATTCTGCAGTCTTTATATAGAAAACCCGAAAGCCAAGGAGTTCACGTATAGGGGATTTTAGGTTTGGTTATATTTCCATAGGTACACAGAAGCCTAGGGGTCTGGCACCTGACACCCGGCACGTACGATTACTCAAATACCGGAATCATCAGGGATTTATAATACTCAAACTGAAATTCTGTAATCTTAGTATAGAAAATCTGAAAGCCATGGAGTCCACGTATAAAGGAATAGAGGTTTGGTAATATTTCCATATGTACATTGAAGCATATGGGCCTGCTCCCTGACGCTCGGCAAGAGGAAGTACTCAAACCATCAAGTTGTTTAACACTCTGTCTCAAATTCTGGAGTCTTTATATGCAAAAACTGGAAGCCAGGGAGACCACGTATAGGGCGATTGAGTATTTACAATTGTGTTATGAAGCCTAGGAGTCTGCTCCCTGACATCCGGCACGAGCTACTACTCAAATACAGGAATCATCAGTGTTTTTTAGTACTCAGCCTCAATTTCTGGTATCTTTATATAAAAAACCTGCCAGCCAGAGAGTCCACGTGTAGGGGAATTGAGGTTTGGAAATATTTCGATTGGTACACTGAAGCCTAGGAGCCTGGCCCCTGTCATCCGGCATGAGCTACAACTCAAATATAGGAATCATCAGTGTTTTTTTTAATATTTAGCCTCAAATTCTGGGGCCTTTATATAGAAAACTGAAAGCCTGGAAGTCGGCATATAGGTAAACTGAGGTTTGGAAAATTTTGCCAAGGTACACTAAATCCTAGAAAATTTTCACCAGAAAAGAAAGATTGATTTGATCCGTCTCCATAGACCACGTCTATGAAGCATCAGAGATTTTGAATACTCAAGTTCTCAGAAGGGATAGAAAGTATCGGGGTTTTTGAGTACATGAGTAGAAATTAGGAAGTCTTTTTATAGAAAAACTGAAACCTGGGAGTCGGAAAAACTGAATCCTAGAAGCCTGCCCCTGACACCCAAAAAATATAAGTACTTTTACTTATAGAGTAGATGAAACCGAAGGTGAGAGATTGATTAGTTTCGTTCGATAAATCATACAAAGTCTTAGAATACTGGATTTTCAATCAGTGATCCCTCTCCATAGACCACTTCTAAGAAGCATCAGAGCATTTGAATATTGAAGTTCTCAGAACGAGGGAAAGGACGCATTTCACATTTCAGGTGAAATCGAGAATCGTTATATAGAAAAACTGAGAGCAATTGAGTCTCTGAAAAAAGATGATTAGGGTTTGGGTAAATTTGAATCCTAGAAGCCTGCCCCCTGATATAAGCAATTTTTACTTATGGAGTAGATAAAACTGAAGAAGAGAGAAAACTGGAGCTCAATCAATGATCCGTCTTCGTAGACCATGTCTAAAAAGTATAAGATCATTTGAATACTCGAGTTCTCAGAAGGTGGGAACGGCAGCATCAGGGTTTTAAAACATTCGAGATGAAATCAAGAATACTTTATATACAAAAACAGAAAGCCAAAGAGATTCTGGAAATGGGTATTAAAGTTTCAGAATATTTGTATAGGTACACTGAAGCCTAGGAATCTGTACCCTGACATATTTGCACTTTCCGTCATGGAGAAGCTGAAATCGAAGAAAAGAGGTTGATTAGATTCACTAACACCAAAACAGGATTTCTTAAGTGGGATTAAGGTTTTAGAATATATGTGAAGATTCCCTGAAGCTAAGGGGTCTGCTTCCTGATATCATAAATTTTCTGTAATTTTTGTCACGAAGATGATGAAACCTAAGACGAGAGATAGATTCAATATTCACAGTAGTTTCAGTGATCCTCTGACCTCTAAAAAGCAACAGATTTTTCGATTCAATCCTGCTCAACCGTTGGAATAGTTTCCCTGATTAGACGCTTGTTGTATGCCTTCGTTATTCTTAAGTCGTACTATTTTCAGCATCATCCTGAGCTGATATCGTAGGGTTTTGATATATCGGATTTGAAAGCCGGAGAGTACCTGTAAAAGAGGATTGAGGTTTAACAACATTTATATAGGTCCACTTAGACTAGAGATTGTACTGTCTGACACCAACACCATCCAACACTTGTACATTTTGTCTTCGGGAAAATGAGACCAGAGAAGCGGGCGATTAGATGCAATCCTGTCAGTCGTGAATCCACAAAGTTTTTGAATATTCGTAGTGAAATCTGGGATAATTTATTTAAAGGAACGAAAAATATTGAAGTCATTGGACTGAGTGTTGGAGATTTCGGCCTAGTTGTCTAGGAGCACTTAAGCCAGAGAACCTGACACCAGAAAATTTGGATAAATTTCGTGATGGAAATAATGAAAACAGAGACGAAAGGGGTTCGGTTTAATAGATAGGCAGAGAACTGAAGTAGATGTGAACGGTCGTTTTATAGACCTAATGTAGCCATCGATTTTTCGAATATTCAAGCTTAACTCTGGAAATTTTTTTTCTGGACCATATGATGAAAAAATTAGAGATTTTTAATACTCGAACTGAAATCAGGGAGAACTTGAAAGCCACGTAGTATTTTAAAAACAGGATTGAGTCTGGGAATATTTGTATAGATATATTGAGACCTAGGAATCTGCTTCCTGACACCAAAAAATATGTGTACATTTCGTCATGGAGAAGATGAATCCTGAGAATCAATGAATTCGACTTGACTTCGTCAAAGAGTTCTTGATAAAAGTGGTTAAAGTCATTGAGTATTTGTTAGGTACACGGAATCCATTTCAAGGAGACGATGAAACCAAATAGAGGAAAGTACTGAATCCATGCAATTGTATAAACCAAATAAAATCGTAGACCCTGTAAATATTGTATATTCTAAAAATATTATACGGTCCAGAGGAGGAGGCACCCGAGTTTTTAAATACTCAAGTAGACATCTGGAGGTTTTTTTATATGGGGAATCTTAAAGCCATGACATTTTGGTAAAACCATGTCGAGGTCTGTATATCTCTGTGTGAGTACCATAAAGTCAGGGAGTCCTTTTCTCTACAGCAGATGAATCGTTCCACTCTTAGTCATGGGATAAGATCAAGACAAGGAAGTGTGAGAATAAAATTTCCTCTCTTGATTCTCCAAAATGTTTCTCTTCCTAAGAAACCCTTTGAAATCTATACCCCATAACTCATTAATTTACATAGTGAACTAGAATCGATTAAAATATACAATTTCCATAAATAAATAATTGTCGATCACAGCATCCCCACAACCAACCCCTACCACCTCTAACTCCTTATCAAGATGTCACATGACATTTCTAACCGCACATCATATCTTATTTTTCCCTCATAACAAACAAGCAAACAAACGAAAAAACACGATATGAGTAATTTTTCATTCAGGTAAATAACGGCTAGATGTGATGCCACTGATTAGAATAGGGAAAATGGTTACCCCCCTTGGTGCACCATTAGAAACTAGTAACAAAAAAAAACTATTATTCGACTGTCAAATGAAATCGCAGTGGGATGTAGGCGGTGACTGTGTCACTTTTTTGGGATATCGACAATCTATGCAGGACAATCTTTAACTAGTTGTTGATACATTTTTCTTATGTGGCAGTGATTTAAAATTTAGATGTCTATGGAAAATGGAAGGGAGGCGTCTCATTCTCAAAAATCTCCTGTGGTTTCTTCCACACAATATGTCTGGTAGCGAACTGCTGCTAACCCTTAAATTTCTATTATGAGGGCTACAATTTGCATAGACAATTAGGAGAAAATGTCGTATGGTTTCAATTAAAGGTCTAATGAGGAAAGTGATTAGAAAATGAGGGTTTTGGGGTTTTCAAATTAATTTGAAACATTTTGACACAAGTCATTTATTATGTGGCAATGCAACAACATTTTTAATAAAATATTCGGATTATTGTCATCATCAAGGGTTAACAAGCAAGCCGGGATATTTACTGAATAAATATTAAATATAAATATTATTTTTGGATATATGACAACAACATAAAATATACAATGACTCTTACTCCAAAAAACATTATTGCAAATATTGCATTTTTTGGGAAAAAGAGACCTCTTCACAAAACCTCACAAAATCATAGCACTTGATTTTGTGAGGTTTGTATGACAACCTACTGATAAACTGTATAAAATTGAATTTGTGTATGCTTCAAAATATAGCTGAGCTAAGCTGAAAACAGAAATCACGCTTATATCATGTGAAAAGTAAATATGCAACAAAAGAAAAGGCTGGGTATGATAAAGAAACGTCAATTGTTGACGTTTCGTCTGAGTAAATAACAAAAAGCCCAAGTTCAAGAGATATGGTTTTCAAATACTCGAGCCGACATCGGGGAGAATTTATACAGAGGAATTCTGACAATGTTTCGCGGTTCACAAAAGTCGGGAAATCTGTATTGTTCTGAGCCATCAACATACTTTCGAAAGGTTGCGCAAAAAACATGGGTATCATGTAAGAAATTGTAGGTGTGTGGATCAATTATCCATAGCTACAACAAGAATCAGTTTTGAAAAAGACTGTTTCTAGAGCGAAGGCAAATGACGAACATTGACAATTTTGAATTTAATTCACAGATTCAATTCCGCATCAACTGCTACATAAATACATATTGTCAACATACGACCTTTGTAAAGCCACATAGACCAATATGCCTGATGAGCCGCTTAACCAACGGCGAAACGCGTCGCTTAATGGTGGGTACTTAGGTTCTTCTCCTGGCTTTCCTTTTCATTGCAAAACTTGGATCATTAAGTTCGACTCGAAGGAGAAAAAACGAAAGTGATGGATTCGATTTATTAGTCCTTAACTCTGTTCATCTATTTATTTCGAATTTCTCACATCCTCGTTTTTTTTTTTTTTTTTGGAGTAGACCTTTGATATGGTTCAGCTCTAGACTTCCTTCCTTCAGAGACTATCAGAGCTAGAGTCTATTAGGAGGAATATAAAATTGGGGAAGTAAGGAATTCGCGTCCCCACTTCCCCAAGTAGAGAGGAACTGTTGGTGGCAGAACATCCTGTCATGTCTGACCTATCTTTAAGGACCCTGGCTGCATTTCCTTTCTAAAAATTGTCTAGGTCTTTAAAGAAGACGAAATTATAATGACGGGTGAAAATCAGATTCCATGGCATCAAAAAAAAAATATTTGTTTCGAGTTTCTCTTTATAAAATTTGCTATTTTTCGGTGATATAATTTATAATATATTTTTTGTTTTCCTTTTGCAGATTTATTGGTAACGGCCAAACGTTTCAGTGCACCCGAAACTACATCCTATTCGGAGATGTTGGTTGATGTGGCCAGAAATCAAATTATAGTTGGTGCAAGGTAAGTTGTCAAATTTTATTGATTACAAATTTTATGAAAATATAGAGGAGCTAAACTCATTAAAACATATAACTTATTAAAAATAAAATCATTAGAAACTCGATTTGAAATGTTTGAATTTTACGTAGGGCGCCAAAAAAATAGCAGTGCTTTTTTAAATTTCAATTCTCATTAGAACTTTGTTCCATCGCAACCCGGTCATAAATAAATGTATTTCTGTTGGGCGCCAGTTAATAAAAATCAGTCACCGTGAAGAAAATCAAATTTGTAATCCATTGCTAAGATTTGAATTTGTGTGTTGTTGGAATTGTTAAGATTGCGTTGAGCGCCTATTTTGTGCCAAAAATGTTACAACCTCCGGGAAGAACTCAGATCCTCCACAGGATTACATAAACCACTAAAAACTTCGAAATACCATTTTTAAAATTTTGTTGGGCGCCTTAATACATTTCTAATTGAAAATTGTAAAAGTAATCACAAAATTCAGACAGGATGAAGCACATATTTCTAGTCATATATTGCCCTCCATAAGTATCTCTGGTGGCGTTAGGTATTTTCAAACTTAACTTGTTCAAATAAAGTATTCCGCAAAAGGAACGATAGATACTCGGTCCGATACTTTCTTTTCTTTTTTTTTGGTCTCGTTCACTTAGTTCCGTTTGATCCAATCGCTCATTTAGATGTTCTCGTTTATTGGCCGAATTAACTGACGTATACCAATGAACAAATGAACTAATTGTATGTACCAAATATGTTGTGGACTGTCCCTTATGTTGGGCGCCATCAATTTATTTAAAAGCTATGAAGTACGCTTGAAATCTCCAGCCTTCGATTTTTTTAAATATAGGAAAATAATTTTTAATTGGTTGCCACTTTGAAATTTCTTTGGTGGTGGATTTTTTGACAGAAAAATATGGACAATATTTTGCGATAAGTAGATGTACCTTTAATCGATTTGCGTTGGGCGCCAATAATATTTGCGTGTGTATTTTCTTGTATTTAAATTGTTTGCAGGAAAGGATTTTTAATCAAATTATAGACAATATATTTGCTGTGACCTGTTCCTTATTTTGGGCTCCATATTAATTTCAAGACTTATCTGTTGGGCGCCATAAATTGAAATCAGAAGCTATGAACTACAAACCAAAAAACTTATTTTTAATAAATTGCCACATTATCAACCAAGTAAATGTGAAATTCGTTGGGCGCTATTTCATAATTTAAAAATATGGACAATATTTTGCGATAAGTTGATGGGAAAATGGTAAGGAAAAGAAAGAGTTCAAATTGCTTATATCGACAGTCAAGGGTCCCCGGTCCCTGGTTGCTATAAGCGATTGTCGTTTACGAGATGTAAAATAAAGACCAGGACATTTCTCAAGGCTTTTGAATATGATCGTTATAACCGACTCCGACCTTAACAATTTTAAAATCGAATTTGAAAAATGAACCTTATTGTTTACGTTGGGCGCCAGAAATACGTTTAGCTAGTTTTTAGTCCCACTGTAGCTAGTTTTTAGTCTCAGTTCAAAACCGCCAAAATAATTTGTTAATAATAATTGGGCGCCAAGAATTTGTCAGTGTCTCTTCTCTCTTTTTCTACTTTGTTCTCTTAATTATTGCCTGCCTCTCTCTTGTTTAATTGTCTCTGACAATTATCTCCTCCCTTCGGTAAGGTCGGCATGTAATAAACTATCATATAATTTGACCCTGGCTGAACTACTTCATTTACGAAATTTTCAAAATAATTTAAATTTAATCTCTCAAAAAATGAAAAAAAAAACTAATAAATAAAATAGACAGTTGGAGATAATGAGCGCGGTTTTCAATATTTATGACCAAAAAAGTAAAACACATAAACCACAAAAAAATCAAAAACAAAAACAAAAAACTCAACACCGAATATTACATTTCGTGCTGACCACATGCTTTCCTTATCAGCATATTACAGAAAAACGAAACAACAACAAAAATTAAATGAAAAAAAAAATGGAATTAAATTTCGTTTATTTGCCAATAGAATAGTAGGGGTACAGTTTTCTTTTGTTTTGATGGAATTCCTCCACAAAATTGATTGCTCCCTTTCTCTACGCCATAAAGATGGGGGTGCTTAATTACACGTGTTAAGCGAATTAAAGCCAAGGGGGTTAATTTTGATTTTGGGGGATTCTCGTAGCAAAATATTACCGATACTACTATTTTCAAAATCCACCCTGCCTGATCTGCCATTATTTGGCCCAGTTGTTTAATTTTTTTTATCAAATTTGTATTGCTCCCTCTCTGTTCTGTTGAAACCATAAACCAGATAAGATATGTAACCGGTTATCTTAAAAATAAACTGATAAAGAAAAGGGGTTGCCGGTGGTGTTGCTGGACTATAAGTACATGTTGATAAGACCCATAACCCGATCTCTCAAAATTACTCTCACGAAAAAACTCTTTTAGGAAACTCTAGAATACGTTCTCTCAAATTTGTTGATATCTAATAAAAATAACCTGAAACCCCTGAACCAATCACCTCTACCAAAACAAATCCAAAGATCTGAAATAGAAGAAGAGAGAACTCCGAAGTAAAGAAGAAAATAAAATAAAAACAAATCATCTACCAGACGCTTGTTGAGCTGATAACAAACTACCTTGACGTCTTTGTTATGATTACTAAATTTATCTGTCACCTCAGTATCTAACTTTACGCATTTTCTGTTATGACTTCTTCTTCAACTTCGCCTCATGACTAGGCAACTAAATTTTCCCCCAAACGAAAATGCCAATCAAATAGAATGTCTTGAAAAAAACTAAGACATCAAATTTATTTTCCATTTTGACACAACATGGCATTGATGAAGTTCTATGGACTCATCCAGACGAACCTCATTAGCCAAGGAACAGAAATTCTCTTCACCAAAAGATTTCTAATACATAGATAATATTTGAGAAAACCTCAATCTGCATAATTTTCTTTCTTCGTTCGTTCCCTCCCTCTATTGGTCACCATTATTCCTGAAATGTCATATTTCTAACATGCGTACGCACACGCCACAGACGCATAGCTACGTGATGACTTACCATTGCCTATTAATTATTCATAGACATATCAGTTTTTTTCTGTTTTTGGTTTTGAAGTCATTTTTTTCGATTGAAAAGAATGTCATCGGCCATGCGTGTTCATTCTATGCTGCATTAGACAGTGTGATAGTCTCTAAGACTGTCTTAAAAGCAATGGCATTTTTGAAGGCTTAATTTTCGAAACGTTGAGAACAATTTTAGACTAACTCAAATTATTCCAAATAATAGGAAACGATGTCATAGAAAATCAAATTTTGAACAAATATATAAAATGGAGAAATTCTCATTTGTTGAAATTTCCGTTGGGCGCCGATTAAAAATATTTGGAATTTTCATTTGTTCTTGGGCGCCATAATGATATTTTAATTGACATTAATATCCTTGATGCAATGGATTTTTTCTATGGGGATTCTCAAAAAATATTAATGGAAAAACTCGGACCCTAGAGTTCACTAAAAACATTCGAAATTAACATTTGCTGAAATTTTTGATTACTCCGTTGGGCGCCAGTTTTGATGTTGAAATTTAGAAAGTTATTAGTGGAAAGCACAGACTCCAGTCTTCTCAGAATCCACTAAAAACATTCGAAATTATAATTTGTTGATTTTGTTGAAACAATTACGTTGGGCGCCATTTTTTTATAGAAATTGGGTAGAAATCGCCTAATATGAACAAAGTAAAAAATCGTTTTCATTGCATAAGACATTAAAAAAATGTTGTTTATTATTATCCCCAACTCTCTTTGAGTTCTTCTTAATTATCTCTACATTTTCCAGACCCCGGTTGGGAGCCAAAAATTCAAAATTAGAAAAATGTTTGCAGATATTGCCTCCACTGAAGAACCCGTGGCCCATGCTTCTATGGAAAGTCGTATCAGTATTTCAAGCTTAGTTCTACAACGAGTGGACTGCCAAAAATTAAGAAAGAAAATAAATAGAAAATTAATTTAAAAAATGTTCTCATTTACGTTGGGCGCCACTATGGCTTCAATGTTAATCTATTTAAGTTGAGATTTTTTCTTTAGGCGGACAGGACATAATTTATATATAAAAATCATTGACAAAATTATTTATGCTGGCACCCAACGTTAGATTGAACTCTTAAGGTCTTCAGCGTGCATTAGTATTTCAAGCATAGTTCTGCTGACAAAATTTGGGAATGAAAAGAAAATTAAAAGAAAATTAATTTAAAAAAATCTATAATTTATGTTGGGCGCCAATAATGGCTTTAATGTGGTTTTGTTTATATTGAGGTTTTATTTTCTATTTTAATCTCACATCGGCACATATAAACGCCAAGTATAGTCGACCAGGATATAATTTTGATAGAAAAAAAAAATAAAAAAGAAGTTAAAGTGGCGACTTACTTTGAATTGAACGTTTCACCACTCCAGAATGTATTAATATATCAAGCATAGTTCGACCACGAGTGGACTGTCGAAAATTGCGACAGAAAACCCGTTGCACCTTAATTAAAAAAATTATCATTTATATTGGGCGCCAATAATGGCTTCAATATGATTTTATTTAAATTGAGATTGTTATTTCATTTCAAATAGCACTTCGGTCCATATAAACGACAAGTTTAGTCGGTTAGGACATAAGTTTAACATAAAACTGAAAAAAAACGTAAGTTAAAGTGGCGCCCAACGATGGATTTAATTCACGTAACAGAAACATGTTGGATTATGTCCATCAGTTCTAAATTTGTATGCCTCTATTATGGGAATGTGTATGCCTTTGGATATTATATTAATAATATTTTTCAGATCAGATCATCTCAGGTCATAATATATTAGGTGCAGATCAAAGGCATAACTATGATTTTTATTTTATTTTTTTATTTTTATTATTATATATATATTTTTTATTTTGTATAAATTCAAATTCATACGATTTACACTCAAACAATAAAAAAATCTGGTTGTTAAGGTG